TTCTCTTCACTTTTCCAGTGGGCTTCAGTTTTCATCAGGGAGCCTGAGAGAGGCCCTCACTCTGTGTTCACTTTTGCAGCTCAGGACAATGGCCTTTATGTCCCCCTGTGCCTCTGTAGTGTGGAACCAGGTAGCTGCACAGCCAAGAGGCCAGAGATGGGGCGGGGGGGGGGGTTGTTGCAGGCACCCATGTGGCTACACTGGCAGCTGGTGGGCATGCCCAGGGGTCCTCACCGTCTCCTGGTTGCAGGTGGGTGTGGTAAGCCAGATGGAGAGATGGAGCAGGGCTTCAGTCAGCCTGGGACTGCTCAGCCCACACTGTTATGCTAGTGGCTTGTGGGCATGCCTGGGGGTCCTCACCGTCTCCTGGTCATGGTGGGCACAGCGCGGGGATGGATTGGGGGCTCCACGCCACCTGGGGTCCTCACTATGCACTGGCTTGTCGCAGTGGGCAGAGCATGGGGACAGAGCTGAAGAGTAATATTTTGACTGACTTCATAGTCACTAGAATTTGTACTTCACAGAAAGAGCAACATAGCATCATAATGAAAATTCTCCTCACTGAGATTAATTTCATAAAGGATCCATGCCCACTATTGTCGCGCTGACAGGGGGAAGGTTCTTTAAAAAACATTTAATTTCCTGATATCATTGGGCCAGAGGCTATGGTAACTGAGAATGATGTATACCTTCTTCTAGAAATAGAGGCCTGTAATCCCAGTACTTGGGAGGCTGAGGCACAAGGAACTTCAGGAGCCTGAGGCCAACCTGGGCTACATAGTGAATTGAAGGCTAGCCTGAACTACACAGCAAGCCCATTTCAGAAAAGAAAGAAAGAGAGGGGATAGGAGGGGAGGAGAAGGAAAGGAAAAGGAAGGAAAATAGAAATAGAGGTCCTGTATCCAAGACCTAATCAGGGTCTATAAAAGTTTTCTACATTGAGGTATTTGTTTCTTTATTTAACTATAACTGGCACAAAGCATGCTATTCTGGATCCCTTTGTCCCTCAGTTCCAGTAATGTCTAACTACCTGCCTAACATTGTCTTATCTAGTTCTTTACCTTTCAATTGCATCTTCATCCATTCTCTGTTGTCACAATAAGTAGATGTAACAAACCACTAAAACAGAGTGGCTTTAAACAACTGACACTTACTGAGTGCATGACTCCTCAGGTTGTCTGAGAAATCTTGTTGTCAATGGGACTAACACACCTATCTGGACATCAAGTGGCTAAAGGTCTAGGACAGCCTTAGCTAGGATGGGGCAGCCTGGCTCTATTGTATGTGTCTCTCGTCTTCCAGCAGGCCAGCCGAGGCATGTGTGCACAGTTATAATGGATGGCAAGAGCAAGCCAAGCCAATCATATTAACATTTTTAAAACTTCCACTTACCTCATGTTAACACCCTAGAGGTAGAGAAAGCACTGTAAACTTACAAGGCAAATGACATAGATCCAAGAGAAGTAAAGATTTGGAGCCAATCCTCCACAATATTTATAAGCAAAATCTTTCCTATTTACATATCCAGGCCCTGAACTGTGTTCTCAGCCATAGGCATGTAATTCCAGTGGTCTAAAGGATGGGTCACTTGGATAGCTCAGGATATTTCCTATTTGAAGCATATTTAAAATTGAAGGTTGATCTTTCCCTTTCAAGCCCTGCTCCTCTTCCCATGTCTCCTTTCATATAGTGATGCTGCCATCTACTAGTTGCTCAAGCTAGGAACCCAAAACCAAAAAGTCCTCGATGCTTTTCCCTCCTTCATCTCAGATACAGCCCAGCAAGTTCCATCAATTTTACCTCCAGAATACATCTCCTTTCTGTCTTTTCTCCAGCTCTCTCGTCACTTCTCTTGTCCAACTTGTTTTCATCTCTTGCAAACATCTAAAAACGTCCCATTGATCTTGAGATAAAAATGTATTTCGTGGAGCCAAGGATTTAGCTCAGTGCTTCCACCACCTACCTTGCAAGTGCAAGGTCCCGAATTCAATCCCCAGTACCAAAAACAAAAATGTATTTCGAACTCCTAACAAACCCTACACAGTGATAACTTCACCTCTACTGAAGCCTCCCCTGTACTACTCTATCCTCACTCACAAAAGTTCCAATTTTACTAGCATTTGTTCCCTACCCAAAAACAACTGCTTTCTTATCTGGAGGCTTTGGCCATTCTGTTCCCAACTGAGCAAATGGAATGGTAAGAACACGAATTCTGCAGCTACCCATATAGCTGTGCAATCCTAAACAAGCTACATGACCTGTGTGCTTCAGTGTATCTGTAAAGTGAGAATGGAAACAGCATCTATGTCACAGAGACATTCTGAGAATTAAACCTCTGTACTATAGTACAGTGCCCAGAAGCATAAAAACTGTATGTATATAGGACCTCCAAATGATGTAGGGGAAATATAACTCCCAACCTGCTAGATGTCAAATACACTGAGTTCATGTTCCTCAAAATCAAAGAACGAATTCTAAGGAACAAAGGAGGTTAAGAGTAGGAAATATTTATTGAGGGAGATAGCTGCTGAAAGGCAGGAGGGGACCTGAGTGAGTTGCCACAGACCTCACTTTACAAAGGAAGCTTTATAGAGTAAAATCAGGAGGTGGTTATAGCATGGGACAAAACTATGATCAACCAATAAGATTACAAGTATAGCCACTTAGGTAATACTGATCCAGTCCGGAAGCAGGTCATGGAGCAAGTGTACATGGAAAGAACAAGGACCTTTTGGAAGAGATGAGTCAGGAGGCACTGGTCACCCACCTGGATGACTAATGTCTATCTACACTTTATTGGACCAGGTGATACCAATTATAGTATATTGCTTATCTCTTGGGGAAGCATATAGGCCTGGTCATTCTGTCTTTATCTTGAGGCCTGGACTTCAACAGATGTGCCTCCAGCCACAGTAATGTGTTCTCATCTTCTGCACTGACTCCCTTGAGCACCTAGTCCTGTCTGACTGCCTCTAATATTTCTACCTAACTCAGTTGTCTACAATATCTGTGCATTTATTAGGTAAAACAAGTTCTTCATTGGCTCTTTCATTGGCATTTCCTTATTTCTCCTCACTTTGAACACAACTTGTAATTCTGTATTCCTTAATATGGGAGTTTTGTTGTTGTCTGATAGTCTGTTGTTAGTTGTTTGTTTTTCTTTGAGGCCCATTAGACTCCAAGTTCCATGAAGGCAAAATGTTTTGCTCACCACTAATTCCAAGTACCAAGAAAATGCTTTGCATACAATGGATGTGAGAAAAGTATTTGTTGAATTAATAAATAATTATAAGGGTTCAAACTGGCACATTATTATGGATTGTGGGGGAACTTTAAGTTCTCTTTTTTCCTAGGAACCAGGGGAAACAGTTCTAAATTCAAAACATATAGACAAGATTTGGTCTTCTTCTTTAGCTTTACAGGATAATGGGGATGGCTTGTCCAATAGTTTTCTATGAAAATCTTTTCACCACAAGGAAGAGAGGGAGGAGAAATATGGTACCTGGTCCCAGGAGGGCACGGGGACAGTGGATCAGTAAGAGTTGCAACATATGGAGTAACCTAATGGCAATTCAGCTTAGAGATATTAAAACCAAGTGTGAATTTGTATCTGTTAATAGGAATCTGTCCTTTATATTAGGCCCCTGGGGAAAGGGAGAACAATCATAGCTCATTACCAAAGAAACATCTGGTGTTCTTCCATTATTTGTCAAAACAGAAGTCTAGCTTTGCTAACATGTAAGCAGGTAAGACCCAGGTTATGTCACTTGTTTTTACATGAAAAGAAACCTCGCCCTTCAGGTAACAGATGGGAGCCTGAAAACTCATCCAGATCTTATTGTCCAGATTGTGGTACCACAGGGCTTAGACCCTTTATCACCTGGATCCTTTAGTACCTCTACCCTTACACATTAACAATACAAGTTGAAAGGCCAATATTTCTTGTCTGTGTGAGATCTTTTAGATAGGTAGAGAGCCAGATTATAATGATCTGATTGTAAGGTCCATACTACACCAGAAGGGCCTGCCTGGCAGTGAAATATGTTCATGGTCATTAGCAAAACCTAGGTCAGTTTCTTAAAGCATGGTCATCAGAATCACTGGCATTATTTGTTTTAAAAAACTCAAGATTCTCAGCCAGGCGTGGTGGTGCGCACCTGTAACCCGAGCACTCTAGGAGACGAATGCAGGATTCCAAGTTCGAGACCAGCCTGGAAATTTCAGCGAGGCCCTGAAACAAAAATAAAAAACAAAGTTTTGAAGAGTTGGGGATGCGGCTCTGCGTGAAGACTCTGAGTTCATTCCCCTAGTGTGGCAATAAATTAAATTAAAATAAAACAAATCAGATTCCCTGGCCCAAAACGGAAGAAATCTACAAAAGGGTGAGATATCCATACTATTTTTTTCCCCCTCAGTACTGCAGATTGAACCAGGGCCTTTGCATTGAGCTGCATCCCCAGCCCTCCCCTACCCCCTTTTTGAGACAGGGTCTCTTTTGCTAAATCGCTAAACTGCCAGGGCTGAGCTCCAACTTGCAACCCTGCCTTGGCCTCCACAGTTCTGGGATTACAGGTGTGCACCAAGTAATCTTGCTGCAGAGGGTCTGTGGACGCAAACGATTCTTATATAGACTAAGGTATGAGGACTCACGCCTAACCTGTGGGAATGGTTTGAACGCCACAGCTCAAGGCCTGGACAGACATCCGGGGCGCTCAGCAAACTCTCACCAAGTCTGGCCCCAGAGCCGCCTCTTCGTCCGCAGTGGCCGAACAAAACTCAGTATGCACAAAGCTCAGCGCGCCCCTCCCTGCCTCTCGCGGTAGCTGGGAGTGACTCCCTGACCCCATCCCTTCGACACCAGTGGAATTAGCGGGCGGGGCTCCCTTAAATCTCCTAATTCCGGCTTCTCCAGCCCCGCCCCTGTCCCGCGAGCCAATCGGGTGGCAGATTGCTGAGGCGAGCGGCCAATGCGTAGGGGCGTCTTTGGGTGTTCGCCGCAATTTGAAACTGTCAAGTGGCTGCTAAGGTAGCAGCTGGGCTTGCTGTTGTCCCAGTGGCTACGCGGCTAGCGGACCGGGCGAGGAGCTGGACCCGAGTGAAGAGCCGGGATTTGTAGGAGAGGGTAGGTAGAGGTGCCCCGCATCCCCAGCCGAAGAGGCGGACTGGGTTTAAAGCTCCTGAGCCCGGCTCTCGTCCGCTCCAGGCCTGGGGCGTCTGCCCAGGTGCACGGGAGCCCGCTGCTGCAAGGGAGGACCTGGGCATCTCCCTCCCCGCACCACTGAGGGGTGCTGTTGCCGGGGATTCTTGTCGCTTAAAACATGGAGCAAAATAGCCATTCATAACGTTTTAAAGAAAGATTTTTATTAAAATAGGGCTGGTAGGAAGGTGATCGAAAATGTCTATCCCTTTACTTACTCACACTCTCCGTCTTTCCTTACTGCTGGAACCGACGAAGGGCACAGGGCTCGTCACCCTGCTATTGGTTTGCTTTCATTAATTTTCTCATCCTCTGCCTCTTGGACATTACATTTGAATTCCTGGACCTCTCCCTGTCAGCCCGGTAGCTTCCGAGACATATCTCTGGCATGGAGGAAACACTCAAAACTTTTTGTCTTGTAGTCTCTAATGCCTTGGGTTAAAGAATAGTGAAACTGTAATGGAATTGTATTCATCTGCCACCCATTGCAGCAAACTTCATTTTTCTGCTTTATTTCTGAACCTAGAAAGGGTAGAGGAAAATGTCTCTTTCATAGTGTCATACCTTGTAAGCACAAAGCAGGGTAGATGTCAGATAACGTATTTTTCAAAAATGCAGTGGTTTCTTTTGTGCAGTATCCATATTTAAGAAACAATTTTTGAGGTCTGACTATATTTACCAGTTGACTTATTTTTTAAATAATCAGCATCACTCCATTCCTGTTATCGGATGGGTCTGCAAACAAATCCTAAAGGAAGATGTGCGTGAAAATATAAATGGACCAAGTTACCACAGTGGTAAATTAGAAGTCAGTGAAACGCTATTCCATGCTGTAGATATGTGCTTATATTATCCTCCCTAATTGGCTTAACTAAAACTAACAGTTTACTCATGTGTAGAGAATATACTGTGTAAAACTGAAATTTCCTTTCAGCAGTTTAGCTGCAACCTGTGTCTCCATTCTGATATTGTAACTTTTCCTGAATCTGCCCTTTCTACTTCAACTCCCATATCTTTTATTTATTTTTCAGCCCAGTGTGAGTGAGACTTTCCGGTTTCCACTGGAATTGTTCAGGTAAATGTCACAGCAACCTCCTGATTGCCAAATTCATTGCAATCTTTGTCTTTCTTTGGTGTGTGACTTAAGTACTCCCTTCTCAGGCTTTGTGATGCTACTCTTCTGACTCACTCGGTCTTCTTTGCTGACTTCTCTTTCCCTTTTTATGTTAGTGGTTATGGCTTTATCTCTCCTTGCTTCACGTTATTAGGGTTATGATCCCCTCTGAATACATATTGAAAACTGAAGATCCTTGCTCTAAAACAATACATATGTGCATTTATGCTAAAAAATATTGTGTATAATTTGGATGTGTGGTCCTCAGGATAAGAACTCTTTGCATACTCCTTTTAATAGGCGATCTTCCCTCCCTGTTTTCCAGCAGATCCAGTTATGCTAATCATTATTCTGACATGATCTCCTATCCTGTACACTTCCAGTACAGGGCTCCCACATTGCTTAACTCTCGGAACCGTCATTCACATCGTGATTGTCCATTCTTGGAGTTGTACACTGCACAGTCAGTGTAGCCACACACAGTTGTCCTTCTGATTCACAATGGATTGATCCAGGACTCCTGCAGATCCTGTAATATGCAGATGTTCGTGTTCCTTTAAAATGGCATAGCACTTGCATAAAACTTGGAAACAGTATCCTCTTGGATACTGTAAATCATTTCCAAATTACTTATAATGCCTAATACAATGTAAATGTTAAGTAAATAATTGTTCAACTGTATTGTCTGGGGAATAATGACAAGAAAAAAAGACTACATGTTCAGTATGGCTGCAATTTTTAAAAAGTATTTTTTACCTCAGTTGGTTAAGTCCATGGATGTGGATCTCACAGACATGGAGGACTGACTGCTCCACGCCTGCAGCTTTGCATGAGTGCCTAGAGGCAACCTTGTGCCCCGTACATCTGATATGGAACTCTGTCTTTCCTCTGAATCTGAATCTGCTCTTCTTCCTACATTCCTTGCCATGGTGACTACTACCATCGTCCATCTAGACATCCAAGCTAGTAATCAGGATCCTTTCACTCCATAACCCGTTATTGATCATGATCTCTCATTTCCCTCACCATAACAGAACTGTCTCATAGTCATACCTTCTTGGCCCCTTCTAGAGTAAGGACTTCATTTATCTCATGGATAACTGCTGCAGAAAACACAAACCTTTTGAACTACTGCATTCACTTCTCCATTGGTCTCTTTTGAGTATCCCAACCTACTTCAGAGTTGCCAGGATGATCTTATAAAAAACAAACTCAATCCTATTATCCCTTATTTAAAACATTTTAATAACTTCTGTAGAATAAAGCCCCAACTTTTTAATTGACAGGTCCTGATCTGACTACTCTGTACCTTTTCATTTCATCCCTAGCCACCCAAACCTTACTTTGCACCCTTTGCTTCAGCCTCATCAAGCTGCTTGCTGTCCTTAAAGCTGTTTTTGCTGCTCTACTGTCTGGAACATTCTTTTATCTTCATCTCTCAGGATGAGACATGCTCATTTTAATATCTCACTACCTGGGCCATCTTTCCTGTACAAACTTCCTCTGGCTCCTTTCCCAGTTCTTCACACATATGCAATCTTATCCCATGAATAATGGCTGCTTCTGCCTCCCTACTTTGTAACTCTGCTATTTTAAGGTCTAACAGGTTTTCCATCTATCAGTTATTCATATTATATATAATCCACAGATTGTAAAGCCTTTAAGACAGGGACTTCATTTTACATTTCCACCAGTGTCTTAACCTGTAACTGGTATTCAGATAGTTTGGTCATTATTTGTCTTTTAACATTTTTATTCTGAAGGGGAGTGATTAGAACTTTCAGTAATTTTTCTATGTGTGTTTTTGAATCTGTTCTGTATAAACTTGGCTTTCCTAAAATAATATTCCTCAAATATTAAGTTTCCCAAGAAAGGAATTTGTACCAACTGTTCATTCTCTCTTGGTCCTGTGTCTCTTGGGAAAGGTGCAGCTTGTCACACACCGCTCAAGAACTGTGATCATGGTCTGTGTTCTTCAACAGGCAACAGTGGGGATCTTTCCTTAACCTGTCTTGTATTTGGCTCATCTCCTCTGACTGCATTATAAACTCATTGATGTTGGGATTATTTTTTATCGCCTAGTGATTTCTGACTATAGGTACTCAATATATTGAATGAATGAATGGTTTTTAACATATATTGTTTGCAGATTAGAATACTTTTATACTGATATATATTTTAAAAGCATTTCTTTTAGTTAAAATGTCAAGGGAAAAAGCTAATGTTAGTGTCTACTGTTTTATAGTATTTGTGCAGAATGGCATCAAATGAAGACAGATACTCACTTCCAGTTATACAAAATAACTCTGATCAAAGCAGTTCTGTCTCTACAGATCTTCAGGTAGGAAGATGTGTTTAGATTTAATTTATTTTCCACTTTTAACAAGTGATTATGAGAAAACCTGGAATACATGGTTCATTCATTCCATTTACGATGGAGTCTTTTCAGTGTACAATAATATAAAACTTTGGGAATTACTTTATACATTTTGGTAGTTACTTTACATTGTTTTAACTTTTCAGAAACTAGTCATGAATTCCTTACTTTTACAAGGGCTTCAACTAATAATAGTGAGAAGAGAAGCTGAAATTTTTTCTTGACACTTTCTCATTTAACTGCCGTATGAATGCTGCTTTCACTTTTAATGCAAATTGATACAATATCAAACCTCTGAAGTTCTAGAGCCCGAGGCTCCCTTGTGTTCTGCTCTATGAAGTTCTAGTCCCTGTTGCTACAACAGTCAACATAATCTGCTGCCTGGGACCTGGGCATTAACAGATAATTTGGATAAATTGACTATAGAAAGTATGCTCTTTGCATGAAATATTTTTAGTTTCTAATGTTTCATCATCAAAAATACAGATTCATATTTCTAGAGGCTTTAAATGAGAGAATACTGATGTAGTATAGTTAAAGTTTTATAGTTTTTATCACTTAAGAAGGAAACACCTAAGAGGTTTGGGTTTATGTGTAAGTAAACTGTCACTGATACTGTGATATATAAGATTCAGAAAAATATTTTATGGAACAAATGAGTTATTTTCATTGAAATTATAGATTTTAAAAATTGGGAAGGTATTTCAAAATCCTGGATATTTACTATTATAAATTAGTCTGGAATTGCAGCATAAACATGTCGCCCAAACCTTCCCCTTGGGTGGAACCTCTCCCTTGTAGTGTTATCTTTCAAAGTGATAGTGCTTTCCTGTAGTTGTTATATCTGCCTTACCCAAACTTTGTCAAGAAAGAACTGATTAACTCACGTATACCAAAATACACCCATTAAAGTCTCATGTAGTCATTTGTCAAGAAACAAAAGTTTACATCAAAAGAATAAATCTTGGGCCGGAGATTTAGCTCAGTGGTTCCACCGCCTGCCTTGCAAGCGCAAGGTCCTGAGTTCAATCCCTGGTACCAAAGAAGAAAGAATAAATCTTGAGGCTGGACTGTAGCTCAGTGGTATAGCACTTGCCAAACATGTACAAGGATCTGGGTTTGATCCCTGGCCCTGGAAAAAAAATATAAATCTCTGCAGTGAATTTAAGAGAAGTAAAGGAAAAAGTGCAGCTCCAAACTCTCTGCAAGTTGGTTGCCTCTACTGAAATGGTTGAGATGTGGGTTGAGCTATATTTCAGGGTCATAGCAGTCCAGTTATCTGGAGTGCAGAAGCCAGCCAAACTTGCAAGTATGAGCTGTTACTCTAAGACTCTCGTTTGCCTAAGACAGGTTGTCTTTGATAATCGAGACAGACAAGACAATGTTATTTATTTTGATCCTTAGCTTTAAAAATCCACACTGTCTGTAACTACATATACAAACTTCAAAATAGTTAAGCTGATTTTTAAGATCTTTCCTTAAAATATGTGTGATCATTGAATACTAGTAATATATATCTATCTTCTCTTAAGTCATAGTAATTGTTGGTGGGAACTTTGAAATATATGTTTGGATCTTCTTTGTTTTAGTGTTCTTACCTAAAAGAGAGGTCAGACTAAGACAGACATAAGTTAAAGCCACTGACTTTCACTTCCCCCCCCCCCCACAGGCTGCAGGGAGTAATAAGCTGACTCTCAGGGGAGCTGACTGGGCTAAACCTAGTTGCAGTCACTACCGGGGAGAGAAGACTAAAAATTTTACAGATCTCAGAATATAAGATACCCAACATAGTACCTGCTTAGACTGTCATAACAAAATACAATAGATCTGGGGGCTTAAACAACAGAAACTGATATCCTCCCAGTGCTGGAGACTAGAAGTCCCAGTTCCAGGTCCAGCAAGATGAATTTCTTTTTTTTTTTAATTAATTTTATTGGCACATTTTAGGTATACAATATAATGACATTCATCATTGGAAATTGCACATTTACATAATGTTTTTTGGTTCTTATTTTCCCCCTTCCCCTGCCCTCCCTTCAACCCCTCCATCCCTCCCTATTTACAAAGACTTTGTTTCCATTTTTTCAATGTCTCATATTAATTCCATTCCCTTTTTTCCTTTCCCCTACCC